ATCTTTTCTACTGTCAGGAGCCAGGTCTTGTCATGGGAGGGGGGACAAGCCACACCGTCAACTCGGAATAGGATGTAAAAGGGAAGTCTGCTATTTTTTACAGGCCTTTATGCCTCATGCAAAACCACAGAGCTGAGCAAATAATTAATAGTTTCATCTCATGGGAAAGTCCAGAGTAGTAAAAAATGTCTTTAAGTTGACAAGAAACAATTATTTTTACTTGCTTCTGGAAGAGAGACAGGCAATCAAAATATTTAATTAAAAAACCCTTCACATTTAGTTTAACAGCATGTTTCATCAAACCTTAAGTGTTTAATTTTGTACTTCACCTTTAAAAAAACCACACAGCTTTTTAATTAATAAATTTGAAAAAAATTAGAGGATCGGTATTCTAATGTAAATCAATAAAATGTACCATTGGAAGATGACAAAATATAAAACAGAAAGCACCCAAAATATAAAAAAGGAAAAATTAATCCTTATGAAAAGGAATAATTGGCAAAACAGATGTATTCAAGAAATACATGTTCAAATTTGAACTTTTCACTGAAAAAAACCTTTAGATGGAATAATTTGACCTTGCTTATAAACTTAACTTATAGCTAACTTATAAACTAAACTTAATTATGTCATGGGCTACACTGTCTCCACAGTCAGAACCTGATAGGATGTCATTCCTGGGGGAAACTGTCACCTCAGACCCATGACCAGCAATTAGGCATGTCCGTGAAGTTAAATAGATCTCACACTGCAGGTTGTCTACACTCTCAGACTTTCCACATATTTTAATGGCATGTACCTATTCAACCCATTTCTTCTGCACACGTCTATACAACAGGTTTGAACACAATACCTTGGCTTTTTCTTCTAAACACTTAATCAGGGCAGAATTCAGGTATTGTCGGAGGTTATTATTTTCTTCATGTAACCTAGCAAGTTCCTCTTCCTTCTGCAGCAGAGTATCTTGAAGCTGTGGAATAGAGATATTGATGAATAGATGTTGACTCTGTAACTTAATAGCAATCGCCCTATGGTACAGGTTGCTTGGATTTGATGATCTGGGTGTTTGCTTTGTGAACTCAACCCACCCCCTCCAGCCTCTTGTCTCTGAAAATCTAAGTGGCATGACTGTTTAGTTTTCACTTTTGACTTCCTTTATTCTTTAGCAAGTGTTTGAGAAGATTACTCTGAAAAAACCTTTAACAGAAAAGAATTACAGGTAACCCTGTGAACAGCCAAAAACTGTCACGGGCATGACAGCAGCTGCCAGATCTCCTCCTGAGTGGCATTAAGTATCCCTTTGCACCCATCTCATTCCCATTTATAGTTGGTCAGTGGAGGAAAGGAGAAGGAGGAGCTGCAGACTAACAATTGATGGGGGTAGAGTGCAGAAGGAAGATGCAGCTGCCATTCTTTATGACACAGTAGTACTCAGTAATCCCTTCAACCCTGGACCCTACTGTGCCATTCCCAGTATGTGTACAGAACTAAGTCCTGGTCCCAAGAGCTGAACAGGTATGTTTTGATTTGCAGACGTCTAATACTTTTTCATGGGGAGCACGGGTATTTGCAGAGAGACGTTTGCCTCCTGATCATAGCTCTGGAGATTCCTTTAGGAGGACAAAGGATCTTCTGCCAAGGACCCCAGGCATCCACTGACCACAGGCTGAAAACCACTGACTTAAATTATTGAGGTAGAGCCAGAGAAAGAAGTACACTGATGTCTGGAAATAGGGTTTGACTCCAGGGACCTTGAAGTTAGTAAATGTTTCCATTGATTTCACTGTGTCAAAATATCACTCTAATGATTTGATCAGAGTGATCTTTTTGGAGTTCCTTCACCTAGGACTGTTCAGAGCTTCTCCTGCCCCTTGATGAGATTTACCAAAAAAAAAGGAAAAAAGAGATAAGGTAACAAGGAAATGCTTGTTGGTCAAAAATGCTTGATCCTCCACATAAGCAAGTAATTCTGGTGGAATCATTTATCCTGAAGTTAACCCTGGTGGACTCGGGAGGACACACGCTATGTATTTTTAGTCAACAGCATGAGGCTCTGCATCATCAGAACCTGAGGGGACCCCCTGGTCATGCCCCTAGTCTTCTCTAGCACCAAGGCAGCTGGTGCGATATGGTATAAGAGGGGAGAGATGAATAGGGAACCCGACAACACTTGTTCCAGCTTCATGGGACAACACAGGGGAGGCAAATACTTCGAGCAAGGAAGAAAAAACACCCAAACAACACGGTTTGCCACCGTTTCCCACATCCCAGCCAGTGAGAGGGAGACGTGCCATAAACCAGACCAGAAGGTGCAATACGTGATACAAAGTTGGGGAACATCGGGGGAAGAAACTGAAGTTGCTGGGGCGGGGGGACACGGGACACACACGACACGGAGCCTTTACCTGCTTGTTTCTGTAGAGCTGGGAGGATAGCTGCCCTCCCTGCCATGCCGCGTCCTGGGCACCGAGCTGCGGGCTGCAGAACTGGCCTGGGGTCGGGGGGGAGCAGACCCGAGGGGTTAGTCCGCTGCCGCTTCCTCGCCCACCCTCCCC